TATTCTTGGCTGCATATTTTTCTCATTTAGTGCTCTGAATATATCACGCCAGTCCTTTCTGGCCTGCCAGGTCTCTGTGGATAGGTCTGCTGCCAATCTCATGTTTCTACCATTGTAGGTTACGTATCTCTTCTCCCGAGGTGCTTTCAGGATTTTCTCTTTGTCTCTGAAACTTGTAAGTTTTACTATTAGATGTCGGGGTGTTGACCTATTTCTATTGATTTTGAGGGAGGTTCTCTGTGCCTCTATTCTTTTCTTTTAAAAGATTTTATTTATTTATTTATTTATTTATTTATTTATTTATTTATTTATGAGAGAGAACCAGCAGGGGAGGGTCAGAGGGACAGGGAGAAGTAGACTCCCCACTGAGCAGGAAGCCTGACCCAACCTGGGGCTCGATCCCATGACCCATGAGATCATGACCTGAGCCAAAGTCAAGAGTTAGCTGGCCACTCAAACAACTGAGCCACCCAGGGGCCCCTAGTATTTTATTCTTTATGACAGCTTTGTTGAGTTAAAATTCATATACCATACAATTTACCCATTTTTTAAAAAGATTTATTTATTTATTTTAGAAAGACATGGGGTGGGGCAGAGAGAGAGAGAGAGAGAGAATCTCAAGCAGATTCCAAGCAGAGCACAGAGCCCCACACAGGGTGAGATCTCATGACCTGAGATCATGACCCTGAGACCATGACCTAAGCCAAAAGCAAGAGTTAGATGCTTAACTGACTGAGCCACCCAGGCACCCCCAATTCACCCATTTACAGTGTACAACGCAGTGGCTGTCAATATATTCACAGAGTTCCACAACCAACTTTAGAACATTTCGTCACCCCAAAAAGAAACCCCAGACCCCTTAACAGTCAGTTCCCATTTCCCTCCAATTCCTCTAGCCTGAGGCAACCTCTGACCTTCCTTTCTCCATAGATTTGCCTATTCTTGAGCTTTCCCATAAATGCATTCATATAATCTGTGGTCTATTGTGACTGGCTTTTCACTGAAGCATGTTTTCTAGGTTCATGGATGTTGTAGCATGTCAGTACTTCATTCCTTCTTATTGCCAAACACTATTCTGTTTATAGATAGGTCACATCTGGTTCATCCGTTCATCATCTAATGGACATTCAGGTTGTTACCATGTTTTGGCTATTATATAATAGCTCATATGAACACTCATGTAAGTTTTTCTGTACATATGTTCTAGGGTGCCTGGGTGGCTCAGTCAGTTAAGCATCTGACTCTTGATCTCAGCGCAGGTCTTGATCTCCTTGATCTCAGGGTCTTGAGTTCAAGCCCCACATTGGACTCCACACTGGGCATGAGGCCTACTTAAAAAAAAAAAAAAAGACATATGTCTTTTCATTTCTCTTGGGTATATACCTAGAAGTGGAATTCATCATTTTATGATACAAATTTCAAGCATACAAGGTGAAAAATTTTTATAGTGAACATCTTTCTAGCCACCACCAACATTCTATAATTAACATCTTATTCTCTTTACTTTATCACCTATCTATTTCTCTCTCGAACTAGTCATCCATCAGCTGACCTTCCTTTTAAATCTATTTCAAGGTAAATGGCATGAGTTCTCTTCCTCCTCAATACTTCAGCATGAATAGCATTCGCCAGAATTCAATATTTGTTCTGTTTCATTTCTTCTGGGGTAATGTTTACATATGATGAAATGCACAGATCTCAAAGTCTATACTCACTAGGTTTAACCAAACTTCTGGCAGGACAAATACATTATAATCACTCCAGAACATTTTCTCCCATGGTCCTCCCCAGTCGATCTCCATCCTCTACCCTTCAAAGACAACTTCCATTCTGAGCTTTTCTCTATGGATTTGGTTTGCCTATCATAAAACATCATACAAATAGAAAAGTACAATATGTACTTTGTGTGTGTGTGTGAAGTTCCTTTCTCAGCAAAATGTTTTTGAGATTCATCCATGTTGTCAATAGTTTATTCCTTTTTGTTATTGAATTATGAATTTGTTGTATATGAATATACCATAGCCTACTTTTCCATTCTCCTTTGATGGCCATCTATTTGCCCCCTCCACCCCCAATTTTTTTTTTTTTTTAGTTTTATGAATAAAGCTGTTGTGAACATTTTTGTGCAAGTCTTTTTGTGGACATATGTTCTTGTATTTCTTGGGCAAATACATAGGAGTGGAATTACTTGGTCTTACAGTGAGTGTATGTTTAAATTTATAAGGAACTGCCAGACTTTTTCCCAAAGTGGTTGTGCCATTTTACGTTTTTATCAGCAATGTATGAGTTTTAGTTATTCTATCTCCTCATCAAATTTTGATGTTGGTAGTCTTTTTAATTTTAGCAGTTCTAGTGGATGAACAGTATGTCTCATTGTGGCATTAATTTTGTGTTTCTCAGACTGATAAGAAGCTCTTTCATTGCTGGCTCTTCGTATGCCCCCTTTTGTTAAGTGTTCAAATCTTTTGCCAATTTGTTAAAGTTTTACTATCTTAAATTATAGAGCAGTCCTGAAGAACCAATGATAATATACAAATCTGCTCTATTTTAAAGCAATTCTAGGAAAGGAAAATTTTCTCTCTCTCCTTTTACTTTTTTCTTTTTGTTTTCTTTTCTTTCTTTTTTTTTTTTTGGTATGGCATTAATCCTAACTACAAGAACTTAATTGACTTCAGTTTATTGTCACTTAAGTCCATTTCTCTTGGTTACTCCTCATTCAGATTTAAAACAGAAATATTTAGAGATAATTTGTGATTAGGCATTGCATACTTATGTAGGTTATGCTTGAATGTGTAATGAGGATTTTAATTTGTTAAAGGATAGAAATTACTTCATAAATAATTCCTCCTTATTCCTCCTTTCCCCTAGTATTCTTAATCTGTATGAAAGGGTAGAGGAATAATTCAACCAAGTACTAGTTTATGGCTACATGTGTCTACCTTCAACTCCATTACTAATAAGCTGAAGAACAGGGCTTGTGCTGGGAAAAGCAATATCCCACTGCTTAGGAAAAAGGTGTGGTTGTATTTAGGATTTACTTTCTTTTCAAGGATTAAGAACTGTATTTAAGCAGCCCTGATCCCATGAGGGAGGATAAAGAAGATGCTAAAGCCCAATTAGTCAAAAAATTCCCCCCACAGAGCTGGTGGTAATTTTCAGGTTAAGAGGACCCATTACCATTACCTTTAACTGCAGGATTTTTTTTTCTATTTATAATAGTAATAATAGCCAAAATATATGGCTATTAATACTGTAGTGAATGTTAATTCATTTAATTGACACATCAACCTTATAAAGTAGGAACTGTGTTATGCCCATTTTACAAATGAGTTAACAGAAGCACAGAGAGGCTAAGTAACTTACCCAAGCTCACACAGCTCACACAGGCAGAGAAGGGAATTCAAACTCAAATTGCCAGCTTCAGAGACTAGGCTCTGCACCATTATGTTGCCTTGTGCCTTTATATTCATAAATCTAGGACAGCTGGTGAAAAGTATTAAAAACATACTTCTTTTAGAACAGAAAATAGAATAGGATAAAAAGTAAGGACTTTTTCTCAAAATTTTTTCCACTTCACTTTCAAAAGGAAAAATTTAGGAGAAAACCATAGGAAGGTCAAGAGTACAATGATTTTGAATCTGGCGTGTAATCTTGCCTTTTGATTCTCAAAAAAATGAAATGATACAGGGACTCCTGGGTGGCTCAGTCAGTTAAGCGTCTGCCGTCAGCTCAGGTCATGATTCCAGGGTCTTGGGATTGTCCCCCAGTCTGGCTCTCTGCTCAGTGGGGAGCCTGCTTCTCCTTCACCTCCCCACTTGTGCGCTCTCTCTCTCTCTCGCTATCTCTGTCTCTCTCTCTCTCAAATAAATAAATAAAATCTTTAAAAAAAAAATGAAATGGTACATAAGGGGAAAGTATACCATTGTTGATGTTACTTGAAGCATTTTCACTGTTCAAAATGCATTGAAAACCAAAGTAGGAATGGGGTTGGGGAGGGCATCTCTATCTGTCTCTATCTATCCCTACCTATCTACCTGTCTGCACATACACATGTGTATACCCATAATCAAGATGGCAGTTCTCTTTGTCTTATTGATCTCATGTATGAAGGCCCATGCAAAATAACTCTGATGCTTAGTAATCTGTGGTAGGAGTTCTATATGTATTGCATAATTATCCCCTTCTTGAAATTGGATCTTCACACATTTTAAGGCAAAAGTAAAGAAAAATGTTCATCCCCCCCACCCCCAACAATTGCTGCTGAAGATCCATACACCTAATGCATGCTGAAGGATCATCAAAGCATAAGTCAAAGAGGGGCACCTGGGTGGCTCTTGAGTTTGGTGCAGGTCATGGTCTCTGGGTCACACAACATCACCTCCACTCTATTGACTTAAGTCACAAGCTTGTCCAGATTTAAAGGGAGCAGACATAGACCCCCACTTCTCCATGACAGGAGTATCAAAGAATTTGTGGCCATGTTTTAAAACCACCACAGTGGAAGAATGATTTATGGCAGCAACTTTGGAGGGTAATTTTGCAGTATCTACCAAGATGGGTAGCAACTACCTTTTAAGCCAGAAGTGTCCTACATGGACAGTCCCTTGGTTCCTATTCTCTACCTTCTGCCCCCCCACCCCCCATCTCTCCTTAATCTTTTCTCTACCTGGTCTCTGCCATCACCATTGCTATCCCTTCAAAGCCCTCCTAGATCTAGAAACTTCTCTGCAAAATAATTAGGTCCTCATCTCTAGAATCCTTCTTGGATTCTATAAATTTTACAATCTCATGGGTCCACTTCCTGTCAATTGCTTCGTCTGCCAGTCAGTATCTGCTGGTTCCATTAAAGGGGAATGGCTGTGAGTGCTGGCCCTATGGTGGCTGGGCTCCAGAAGGAGTGGGGATCTATTCTGCTGAAATGAAACACAGCTCAAAACCCCAAGATTTTATTTCCTACTTACTCTAAGGGAGGTTCATATTCTTCCTATTGACTTAACTTTGGATGTGCGTCTTCTAATTCTACTACTCCTACTATATTATGCTATGTTTGTTAGTTACCCATTGCTGCATAACGAATTACTCCAAAACTTAGTGGCTTAGAACAATGCCATTTATCATCTCATACTTTCTGTGGGTCAAGGATCTAGGCAAGGCTTAGCTGGGTCCTCTGGCTCTGGATTTCTCACAATGCTGCGGTCATTGCAAGGGTCCACTGGGAAGGATCCCCCCTTCCGAGATCCCTCCTGTGATTGTCATGGGATTCAGTGCCTCAAGGGCTCTTAACTAAGGCCTCATTTCCTTACCAGCTCCCTTTGTTCCTCACCACAGGGGTCCTTCATAGAGCACCTCCCAATATGGCGCTGGCTTCATCTAAGGCAGGCAAGAGAGAGGGCGAGCAAGATGGAATTCAGTCTTTTGTAAGCTAATCATGGAAGTGACATCACGTCACGCTTCCATATTCTGTACCTTAGGAGGGAGGCCCTCACTAGGACCAGCCCTCAGTCAGGGCGAGGGGATTACACAGAGTATGAGTATTAGGAGTCACTGCTGGAGCTGCCCACAAGAGCTATGTGCAAATCCCTTCTTCCCTGACTTGGGTTTTAGTGTAGGTTCTCATGTTACTGACAGCGCATATGCAGATCCAGAGATTTGCAATGTCCTGACCCAGAAAGGTCGGGTCTCGGTGGTGTGGTGATATGTTTCCCGGGGAGGGGATGGTGATTATGAAATAAGAAGTTTCTTTTCACTGTGACACGTGATCGCTTTAGCATAAGAGATTTACACACACTTTTGTATAAGCTTAGAACATTTTTAAAAAAGATTTTATTTATTTATTTGAGAGAGAGAGAGCTCGCGCGAGCAGGGGGAGAGGCAGAGAGAGAAAGAAACAGACTTCCCACTGAGCGCAGAGCCCGATGAGGGGCTCAGTCCCAGAGATCATGACCTGAGCCAAAGTCAGACGCTTAACCGACTGAGCCACCCAAGGCGCCCCTAAGCTTAGAACATTTCTGGGGACTGTGAACCCCTGGGAAACTGATCTCTGAGAAATGGGACCAGGAATGCGGGGAAGGGTCCCTTATATGCTTTACTTAATACCTTTCTGTACTGCTTATTTAATTCTCCATGTGCATACATTTACTGTAATAAAAAAAACAGTTAAAGTTAACAAAGGGAAAAGTTAAGAACAGGGTAACCACTTAATTCAGAACGATTTCTAAATAACCCCATGTGGTGGGATAAAAAGGGGATCTAATTAATTACACATTTTTATAGTCTGAAAGTGAGGCACAAAGGAAAAATGACAAGGGAACACGTCAAGTTTTCAGCGGTTGATTGTCCAGGCCGCAGATTTTGCAGACCAGGTATCGCTGGCTTTTCAGGCAGAGGAATTTAAAAAGTGCTTTCAGTCAGATGAAGTACAAAGCACAGAATGTTCTGGAGAGCTGGAAGCTGGGGGGGGGGGTTCTCTAGCCTCTCCCAGCTGGAGCCCCCAGCCTGCCCTCTTCTCTCTGCTGTATTAACTCTCTCCCCAGGCCTGCAGACCCTCTCAGATTGCCTCCCTGAAAAGTCACCTTCCCTCAAACATGCTGGTAATGTTAAGATAATAAAACAGCATCAGATGTATGATGATCGTACCTGTGCTGAGAGCTAAACACAAACCTTAATTCCAGATGAAAGAAACAGTAGAGCAACATGAAAATGTGGGTCTTCCAAAGAGAATGACCGGGTAAATGTCACTTTTCTAATTTTCTGATTTCTACAGTTTTTTTTTATCTTTAGTTGTGAAGTGGGCAGAGCACCTTGCTTGCCATTCAGTGCTGAACTTGGCCTAGCAAAAAACACAGCACGGGAGGGCTTGTTAGAAATAGCGTCCCAAACTTGGGTGCCTGGCTGGCTTAGTCGGTTAAGAGTCTGCCTTGGGCTCAGGTCATGATTCTGGAGTCCCACCTTGCGCTCCCTGGTCAGCCGGTAATTTGCTTCCCTACCCACCCCCCACCCCTGCCCACTTTCTCTCGAATGAATGAATAAAAGCTTAAAAAAAAAAAAAAAAGGAAATAGTGCTCCACCCTTACTAAACTAGAATCTGCATCTTAACAAAATCCCCAGGTGATTCATGTATCCTTTAAAGTTTAAAAAAACAATTGTTCTCAAACTTGGCTTCACATTGGAATCACCCACAGAACTTTAAAAATACTGAGGCCTGGGTCCCAACCCCATAAATCCTGATGTACTTGGCTGAGGTGAAGTCTGGCCAATGAGTTTTTTTTTTTTTTAAATCTTAGGTGATTCTAGGACTCTGAACCATTATGCTAATATAGTGGTTCTCCGAATGTGGGCTCAGCATACCTGCTGAAGGAGCGCAAATTCTCAAGCCCTACCTCAGACCTACAGAACCTGAAACCCTGGGGATGGGGCCTGACTATTTGAGCTAGCCCTGCAGGCCATTCTGATGTGGGCTGACCTTGGGGAACCTGATAAGGTAGGTGTGGGGTGACACTCCAAAATGTCCATTTCTTAGTTTCCATGTGTTCCAGGTGTGAGAGCCAACACTTAGAGAAGCGCTGGCCTAAACCCTCTGATCTATGGCTTGTCCAGAGCCACTCAGAGGGTCAGAACCTACTGTTTTTTTTCTTTGGCCACAAACTGCCCAACTGCTGTTTCTTCTTAGGTCTGAGGCCTACATGGCCCTTTTTACTCCCACTTTCATCAAATAGGCAAGCGTTAAAAAAAAAAAAAAAGGTCAGTACCTCATACTAAAAATTTGTCTCTTTGCTCCTTTCTAGAAACTACTCACACCTGCTGCCCGCAGGTACCCCCTGTACTTCTAATGAGCCCTGTTGTGCCCACCCACACCGCCACAAGGGGCCCCTGCTCTGCTTCCCTCCGAGTTCAGTTGTAGCCTCTCCCTTGAAACCTATCCACCTGGTTCGAGGCCTGTGAACCCCTCTAAGGCGCAAAATGCCCAGGGTTCCGGAGCCAGCGGCCTTCAGAGGCGGGAAGCTCATCGCCTCGGCATCTAGCAGAGGGTTCCTTGGGGTTCTTACCTGCTGCTGCCCGCCCTTTCTCCTCCACGAGTGGGAAGTCTACAGCGAGGACAGGAAAAGGGGACACCGGGGGCTCAGGAAGGGGGGATAGAGACGGTAAAGCAGGTGCTCCCAGCTGGAGGGTGGGGACAGTGACTGTGTGTCGTCCCCGTCCCCCGCCCGTCCCAGCCGCCTCGGTCCTGAATCTCGCCCCCTCCCCCATTAAATTCCGCAAACCAGCTCCCAACCTTTTCCCTTCCCCGCCGGGGCTTTGCTCCTGTTCCTGGAGGTGGGGCACGTAGGGGTGGGGATTATCCTGGGAATCGCCAGGTTGGAGGACACTGGGCCGCGGCGCGGGGAGGTGGCAACCGCCCCTTCGGGATTAAGTCTCTCGCAGCCCAGGGTGGTGCCGGAAGCCCGTTCTTGCGGCCTGGGAGGGGAGGGCGCTCGTGGTTCCTTGCAAAACGCCGCTTCCCGCGCGACCACGTGAAGTCCTAGGTGGACACACAGGCACCCCCTTGCATGACCTCAACCAGCGAGTTGCGGAGTCCGCGCCACCGACCGCCTTCCAGCTGCTGCTGGTTTTAGCCGGCGCGCTCCGTCTCGCGCTCTCCCTGTACCGCTTTCCACCACCGTACAGCGGGACTGGCGTGTCCCTGGTGGCGCAGCGCACTCCCCAGCGCTTCCTGAGCTGCGTTCCGTGCCGCCGTGCGGAGACACGGGTTCTGACTTTAGGACCAAGTAAGGCACAGATCCGAGGTGGGCTCGCGGGGTTGGGGAGGGGCGTTCCGGGCTGGAGGCCCCCCCATCCCCCGGCGCACCTGCCCCCAGGGCGGAGCGGGGCGGGGCGCGCTGGCGCGCAGGTTGCCGGCCCGGACGCTGGAGGGGGCTGTGGCTCTCTCGCTGTCCCCGCGGCTCGGGCGG